TCAGAAAATGACCCTCACGACCTGCTTTTATACATGCTTGCTTTAGCAAAATCATGCATGGCGGTGTAGACATACTGCATGACTAAGTCTTTGCTTTTTACAAACAAAACACTGCCCTGCCATTTCAGGAATCTATTCAGTTCAGAAACACCAACTGTGGTCAGTGAATAATAACACTCAGTTATACTCACAGGAGCTTGTGTACGTCCGTTCTCATTTGAAATGTTCCTGATATTGATGTCATAAAGCTTTCCAACTTGTCCAAAGCAAAACAACTTAAAAGGTGATTTATTGAAGAGGAGCGCACAGACTGCTGAAACCTCTCTGAAAAATACTATCAATTTCCAAAGCTCAAAATGTGAGCTTAAAATATTGATACACATTCAGTGATAAACAACAAGAAAAACCGTCAGCACAGTGTAACCAGGTGATAGTGACCAGGTGACAGTGACCAGGTGACAGTGACCAGGTGACAGTGGCCAGGTGACAGTGACCAGGTGACAGTGGCCAGGTGACAGTGACCAGGTGACAGTGACCAGGTGACAGTGGCCAGGTGACAGTGACCAGGTGACAGTGGCCAGGTGACAGTGACCAGGTGACAGTGGCCAGGTGACAGTGACCAGGTGACCAGGTGACCAGGCTATAGATAGCATAGCGACTGGCATTGCTCACACGCAACCTGCAACATGTCACGTGAGTATGTTCTGGTGTATAGAAGGGTAATTAAATTTTGGTTACAATTATTGTCTATGCCTAGATATCGCAATCTAAAAATATGTTACAATATGTTGGTACAAGCTTCTAATGCCGGAAAGGCTAACTGGGCTACTAACTGTAAACATTTGTTATTCAGTTTAGGTTTTGGGTATATCTGGGAACAACAAGTCGTCATTAATCCAGTTTCTTTGTTGTCTGATAAATTTCCAGCTTGAAATTTATAAATGAGCAAGATTGGCGAGGTTCACTTCAAACAGGTAATAAAACTTTCATTTATTCTTGTTCTAAAACTTCCCTTTCAAAGGAGTTATATACATGTACTGGGTTTGTCAGTTTTAGAAAGTTTAGATATGCATTAGCTCAGGTCAGATGTTCTTCTCACCAGCTCCATATTGAAACTGGCCGGTATTTCAATACCAATGTAACATGTGTAAAATTTCTTCTTTGAGTGGCATTTTAGAAGTTGGGAAGTACAATATAGAACAAACACCCGAGTGAAAGAACATCAGACCTCTGTTACCAATTCCGACAGCAAATCAGCCACTTCCGACCACATCAAAGCAAGCCCCAATCATCAAATAGAGTGGTCTGACATCACCGTTTTCTCTAACAAACAAACAGACTTCACTAAACGCAAGCTCACCGAAGCCATCCACATCAAACGCCAAAAGCCCATCATCAACCGAGACCAAGGATACTTCATTCCATCCGCTTATGATGCACTCATCCACCAAGCCCAGTCTACTGTATAAACTCTGTTGTATAAACATCTCATTATTATTTGTACATCATTGGCTTCCACGCCTGTCCTTTGTCTACTCATCAGCTTTCTGCCTAGCCAGTTATGTTAATTATGTTTTTTTTGTGTTACATTGTTACATCCAGTATATATATACTTCCCCCTTCTTCATGTTCCATTATGCTTGACAACGGTACAAGAATCTGTATCGAAATGTCGCATTCACGAATAAACAGAAGTTGTTATCCATAAAGTTTATTCTGTAATGTGTGTAAGATTGGCTACGTGGAGGACGAGTTTCATTTTCTTCTGGTCTGTCAATCATATAGAAATCTAAGACACAAACATATACATTGTAAATATTATATACTAGTATTTCCAACCAGGTCTAAGTTCAATATCTTAATGTTAACTTCTAATTGTGAATTATTAGGAAACTTATCTCTGCACACCTATAAAGCTATGCTGCTAAGAAAGGTATCGCTACTAATTATTGACAGTTAAAACAACTTATACATAGATATATCAAATCATCTTTATATATGTATTGTTAGCACGTCTAGACAATTGTTTACTGTATTGTAGTCATGACCCGATGGCCTACACTATTGCCGTATATCTGTGACACCGCGTCCTATCCCATACAGCGAGTATAAACCTGTCATGAGGTAGGAAAAGTACTGCAAGTCTCCTTGGTCTCGGGTACGGTGATCACCCTTCATGTACACAAATAACTTAAAAAAAGAACCCTCGTACTTTTGCAATGATAAGTTTTCAAAACGTACATAAAACTTCTCGTGGTGACCACGATGGAAAAACATGAATTTGTTTGACCCGCATGATCCTTTGACACATAAAAAAATGAAAAAATGATTGGAATTCATGTTGATTTTATGATGATAATTGCTCATTTAGAAAAAAAAGTACTGCTTTTCATACAAAACCATGTCTGTACAAGTATGGCCCTGGACTGCTTAATGTTGAATTTATTGCTGAATGTGAACATTCAAAATGTCATTGTGCGTGTCTTACACGATTCAAGGTCAATACCGAGTGTAACCTCCATGTGACTGCATGACAGCCGGCACTCTCCTCCTCATACCCCCTCTCAACCTCCTGATCCTCTAAAGGGGCAGTCAACACCATCCCTCGTGTAAAGCAAGTTCCAATTGGACCAGGTTCTGTACAGGAGGATCCCTTTGTTGCACACGACGACCAGTCATGTCCCAGATATGCTCCAAAGGGCTCAGATCGGGGTCATGCAATCGTGAGATAAGTCATGGCCCAGATAGCATTCCGACGTTGGCCCAACGTTGGCAATGGTTGGCAACGTCGGGGTCGGATTTCATACGTTGGCCCGACGTTGGCCCAACATCGGGGAAGCATCGCGGATATTTTATTCAAGGGACGCTACTCCAAACTGTTAGCTTTTCCCAGAGGGCGCTCAGATTCTTCGAGCAGACGATGCGACATGATCACAAGCTTGGCCATTGAAGTACAGGTTTCCTCGAATATATAGCGGTTAGTGTTTCATTTTGTGTTTTTATTATGTTCAACTCTATTTCAGAACTGTGCCCAGCGAAAGAAAGTCATGGTTCATTCAGAAGTCGGCGAGTAACCCTCGCCTGCTCGCTGTATCGCGCGTAAATATGCTGTAGTGTGGATCTAACGTTTAAATACAGTCCGGAGACCACGAGCCGTCCATCCACCTACATGACCACCGAATGATCCCGAATGTGGCATTTGTTATACGATGGTTGATTGTGGCAACAGTAAAAAAATATTACAGTTACAGTAGCAGTCATCCATGTAATCGACGTGCGGAGCTTCACTGGTGTAAGCCAATCGCGAGTTCAGTTTTCGATCACTGTCTGGGCATGTACAGACTCGTGCCGGTTATATTCGGACACTTCACGTAATTTCCATAGGCTAACATGTTATTTCAGTGCAGCATAAATAATTTTCATGAAGTGAGTTTAGGATGAATCTTTGTAAAATTTGACACTCAGACAGGCAAATGTGAAATCAGCTTGGCTCTGCGCACATAATTTCATTTCAATTTTCCGTCCACTATTTAAATAATTGTTGCGTTTCGATAAATGAGCAGCAGAAAATTAAACAGAAATTATGTGATCGTAGGTAAGATTATTCCTCACGAATGTGCAAAATTTGACTTGCATCTTACACAAATTAAATCAGTGAAAACTCGTTTATGCTAAACTGAATTAACACGTATGTCTATGGAAACAAAGTCGCTTCAGTATGCAAACATATATATTTCATACGACTGCATCGTTTTTTCGACATTTTCTGTTATCATCTAAGCTATGCTATTTTACAAATTTCCCCAACATCTGAATACTTACAAAACATTTTTTATTTTGCATTTATTCTATATTTGAATTACCAGTTTTAATAGAATGTAAGATACAATAGAAAGGTAAATTTACTGCTTTACAGTAATCACCATATCTACTGACACCAGTTACATCATTCTTTTAAGAAATGGGGTTAATCTACATTGGTTAAAGTAAGAAAGTGATAGCTTGTGGTTTCTCTGCAGGTGATGTTTACAGTTTGTGGCAGCATTTTCACGTGAAGTACAGAAAATGAAGGAGTGGTGATTCCAACTGCTGTACCCATACAAAAGGTATGTACAATAGTCGCTTAAATAAGTTCGTTGTGTATATAGTTACTTGCAAGTTTTAAATCTAAAGCTGCGATTTTCGGGTTGTATTCCTGTCCGTTGATTGTTTTTGTTAATGTGTAGGTTTCATATGGCTGAATTACTGCCGATGTGGATTTTAAGTTTAACTCACTCACACTCTGATATTCAACTACTTGAGAGTGACTGGCCAACATCATATGTTGTCATATGTTGCGTTTTTAAAAAACGCTTGTTTTCTTTTTAAATTTGATTTTGCAAATTGTATTTAATATTGATATAATGAAATGTTCATATCAAGAAATTCTTTGTATTTAACTGTGTATGTGTAGATTTGTTTCATCCTTATATGAGTGAAATAATGCCGATTCGACGTAAAATATTACTCACTCACACTTGCAATACATGTAGTTGGTTAATAAACGGGATAGGGTGGTCATGCTCGCTGATGTATTTGACACATGTCATCGTATCCAAATTACATAGGTCGATGCTCATGCTGTTGGCCACTGGATTGTCTGGTCCAGACTAGATTATTTTCAGACCGCCGTCATGAAGCTGGAACATTGCTGAGTGCGGCGTTAAAGGACAACCAACCAAACAACCAAACATACTTTATACACTATTTTCTTTTTCTGGCTTGATTTTTTCCGGGCATAACGCGTCTGAACTACAAAAACACAAACTGAAACAATTTTCATTTATATTTATTGACAATTTTTCCAAACTCACTGAAGCACGTAATTAGCAATACGTTTGTTGCTGCTATTACAGATGCGTATGCAGCCCAAAACGGTAAACTAGAAGCTCATCATTTCACTGGTGTTATATTGAAGAGTGCGACGTAACACGTCTGGGATGGCCGGTAAGCAGTGGAGGTTACAGTTCGGACGCAATGGCATGCAATGACACCCAGAGATCCTCGCCCGTCGGGATGATCTCACTTTCCGGGAGCTGGAACCCGGCGTTGTCATTGGAGTCGGGTCTCATCTCGTAGGTCATGGCGTACGGGATGTTGGCATTTAGGCGGGCCCAATCTGAGGACGTTCCGGAGGCCACGTCTGAAAACACATTAGGCAAGAATATTGATAATAATTATATTAACACAGTCGTTCTGATGAGAACCTCTGGGTAATGCAGATGAATTCAGTGTTTAGCCCTTCTGATGAGAACCTCTTTTTAATGCAGATGAATTCATTGTTTAGCCCTTCTGATGGGAACCTCTGGGTAATGCAGAAGGTTTCAGTGTTTAGCCCTTCTGATGAGAACCTCTGGGTAATGCAGAAGGTTTCAGTGTTTAGCCTTCTGATGAGAACTCTAGGTAATGCAGAAGGTTTCAGAACCTCTAGGTAATGCAGAAGGTTTCAGTGTTTAGCCCTTCTGATGAGAACCTCTGGGTAATGCAGTGAGAATTCATTGTTTAGCCCTTTGATGGGAACCTCTGGGTAATGCAGAAGGTTTCAGTGTTTAGCCCTTCTGATGAGAACCTCTAGGTAATGCAGAAGGTTTCAGTGTTTAGCCCTTCTGATGAGAACCTCTGGGTAATGCAGATGAATTCATTGTTTAGCCCTTCTGATGGGAACCTCTGGGTAATGCAGAAGGTTTCAGTGTTAAGCCCTTCTGATGAGAACCTCTAGGTAATGCAGAAGGTTTCAGTTTTAGCCCTTGTGATGAGAACCTCTAGGTAATGCAGAAGGTTTCAGTGTTTAGCCCTTCTGATGAGAACCTCTGGGTAATGCAGAAGGTTTCAGTGTTTAGCCCTTCTGGTGGGAACCTCTGGGTAATGCAGAAGGCTTCAGTGTTTAGCCCTCCTGATGGGAACCTTTTTTTAATGCAGAAGGTTTCAGTGTTTACATTGACGTAATGTCAAGCTTTTTACAAAGGTACAAGAATCTGCATCAAAACGTCATAGTCACTAAATATAAAGAATTTGGTACCCATTGTTTGCCAATATTGTACTTCCCAAATTCTGAAATGCCATTCAAAGAAGTTACTTCTGCGTCATGCAGAAGGTTTCAGTGTTTGGGAGTCTTCACATTCTTCGAAAAGTTCTTGTCGGGTTCAACTGGACAGCACTCAGCAAGGTCCCAGCTATATGACAGAGGTTTGTCATAACTCCTATCTGGAGGAGAGAATCTAGTAATTGAACTCATGAGCATCGATTTACGGACTTGAGAAACGATGGCATTTCTCAACTAAGTCTCACAACCCGATCCCGTTAGCCGCCCATTACGACAAGCATCGGTTGCTGAATGCGAATTCTAATCACAACAGGCTCGGTTATCAGTTCTAACCCTTGTGTTCACCGATGGAGGATTAATGGATTGATGGTGTTGTTATTGCTGCTGTCGTTGTTGTTGATGATGATGATGATGATGATGATGACGACGACGACAACGATGATGATGGTGGTGGTGGTGGTGGTGGTGGAGGTGTTAATATAATATAATGGTCATAGGATGTCGATCAGAAATGAAAAGCATCACTTTACAGAGGATATCTGGCGCTGTTCCCACGATGTAATCCTTTACTGTAAGGAAAGCTCTTTGATTGCGTCCTTGGCCAAGTTCGTGATCCGCCTCTGTGGAGATATCATGAGTGGTTGAGTGGTTCTGTCAGTTAATGAGTGAGTGAGTGAGTGAGTGAGTGTTTCCTTTCGATTGTTGTTAAGCGCAGATCTCAGCAATATTCCAGATATATGGCGGCGGTCTGTAAATAGTCCAATCTGGACCAGACAATCCAGTGACCAACAGTAGAACCATCGACTACTCAACTGGGATACGATAAGATGTGTCAACCAAGTCAGCGAGCCTGACCAACTGATCCCGTTAGTCGCCTCTTATGACAAGCATGGGTTACTGAAGACAGTTCCGTTCGTTACTGGGTGAGAGGGTGTGTAAGTGAGTATGTAGGTCGCTCTGTGAGTGAGTGAGGGATTTAAAGGTTGTCAATTAAGGAGCGCATCTGAGGTGAAGAGAGGTGAGGTGAAATGGGGTTTAACGTTGCACTTAAGAATATTTCGCTCATATGACGACGTGCATGCGAGTGTATATGTGGCAGCTTGTACTAGCCCAAATATAACATATGTTACATTTGACAACTTTCTAAATCATAGCTTTCGAGAGCCGTGACAATTTACATTTATCAGAGGAGTACACAAAGTCCGCAGTCTAGACTACCAGTTGTCCGACTTCCATTTTTGTGGAAGTCACGATGTTTGAGCGGGTTAGGGGGCTGACTTAGTGTGCTAGCAATTAGGTGCCTGACTCTGAGGGTGTGGGTTCGAATCCCAGATGGGACTCAACCCAACAAAAGTTCAAGAACCTGTACTTTACTAAGAACTGTAATCACAAATATAACATAAGTTACATTTGACCACTTTCTAAATGACATTGTGTAAAATACTCACAGCTTTTTACCATTTCTGGTGCCCCCGCCTCGACATTGATGGAATATTGCTAAAAGCGGCGTAAACATTAACTCACTCACTCATAGCATTTAAATAAACGATACGTGGTACCAGGAACATCTGTAAAACTTCACATTTAAACGGTTCCCTATGTACAGAAGCGGTATGACGCGGACGAAAGTCGAACCCGACCTGCCGCTCTAAACGCGCTGTCAACCAGATACGTACTATCTCAGCCGTATTAGCCGGCTCGGTGTTCTCGGCATACCCGTATGGTACCAGGAGATATTGGGAGTAAGAGTGGACCGATAGGTAGGCGGAGATTGGGCCTTCGTTGCTCTGGATACTGGCCACCCAGTCTCGGATGTTCCTCGTCTCCGCCTCGGAGAAGACGCTGCTGCCGTGGTAGGTGTCGGAGAAACAGCTGGAGGAAGATCCGCTACCTGGGGAGGAAGACAGATTTCATTAACGCAACTTTTGATCGTATCTAGTGAAGAGATTGAGCCAGTGATAGTTGTTTTTACAAAAACATCGTTTCCATATGAGTTTGTTTTCGGGTTTTTTTATGATTAAGTTAAAAGGATCATCGACTATCTGTTTCGTCACCCAGTACGATGTCAATGCCCAATGTTCATTGTGATGTTGCAAACGTAGCTATTGACAGGAAACATTTACCTCAAAATTTGCGTCCCAGTTTCTGTTGAGGTCGACACCGCGGCCGAAGATGGAACTGCAGGTGTTCCTGTTCTTCCTCCACAGCCGATCCTGGAGAACACAACCATGTATTCTGACACACGACAGCTCACCATTTCAACATCAGCGTATAACCCGTTTGTGTGAGTGTTTGCGTCCGGGTTCGTGTATCGTGTCTGTCTGTGTGTGTGTCTGTGTGTATCTCTCTCTCTCTTCTGTCTCGTGCATTTGTTTCTGTTCGGGTTTGTGTCTCGTTTATTTGTTTGTATTCGGGGTTGTGTCTAGTGTGTGTGGGGGGGGCATTTTGTGTTCGGGTTTGGGTCCGTGTGTGTGCGTATCGTATGTGTGAGTGCTTGTGTTCGTGTATGTGTCTCGTGTATTTGTTTCTGTTCGGGTTTGTGTCTCGTTTTGTGTTTGTGTTCGGGTTTGTGTCTCGTGCATTGTATAGGTATATCCCTTTACACATGGTTGATGTAACTTATGTGTGTGTGTGTGTGTGGGCTACGCGCGCACAGATGTAGCCATCAAGGCTTGGTGAGTGGGACTTACACGCGGCTGTGTGTAGGCTTAGCCACCAGAGTTGGGGTCAGTGACGATGTAAATACACTGGCGTGTATGTAGGCATAGCCATCAGGGTTTGTGACAGTGACGATGTACTTACATTGGTGTGTGTAGGCATAGCCATCCGAGTTGGTGACAGTGACGATGTAAAATACATGTGTGTGTGTAGGCATAGCCATCAGGGTTTGTGACAGTGACGATGTACTTACATTGGTGTAGGCATAGCCATCAGGGTAGGTGACAGAGACTATGTACTTTCACTGGTGTGTGTAGGCATAGCCATCAGGGTTGGTGACAGTGACGATGTACTTACACTGGTACGTGTAGGCATAGCCATCAGGGTTGGTGACAGTGACGATGTACTTACACTGGTGCGTGTAGGCATAGCAATCAGGGTAGATGACAGGGACGATGTACTTACACTGGTGTGTGTAGGCATAGCCATCCGAGTTGGTGACAGTGACGATGTAAATACATGGTGTGTGTGTAGGCATAGCCATCAGGGTAGGTGACGGGGACGATGTACTTACACTGGTGGGTGTGTAGGCATAGCCATCTGGGATGGTGACAGGGACGATGTACTTACACTGGTGTGTGTGTAGGCAAAGCCATCAGGGTTGGTGACAGGGACGATGTACTTACACTGGTGTGTGTGTAGGCATAACCATCAGGGTTGGTGACAGGGACGATGTACCACTCAAAGTTGTTGTACAAATACTGAGCCTGGCTGCCGGCGATGGATCGTTCGTGAAGCATCTGCAGAGAAACGGGAGTAGTCTTAAGCCTCAACACAATGTTGGACGGGCGCTGTCTACAAAGTACAAGGACCTTGTCTAATAACGTAGACGGAACCTGTCTTCAAAGATAGACGGACGTTGTTTACAAAGATAGACGGACCCAGTCAACAAAGGTAGACGCACATTGTCTACAAAGGTAGATGGACCCTTTCAATAAGGTTGGGCGGACCCTGTCTACTCACCTTGTCCACAAAATACATCGTTGATGCTGGGGTCACCCACTCTCTGGCGTGAATCCCGGCCTCGATGAAGATTCGTTTCTTGCCAGAAACACTGGGGTTGTTTATCTGGAGTCAAGAAAATAGTTAATCCAGTCACATGTATTCTGTATCGTTCTACCATTTTGTCTGTTTGTTTTTTCCGCGTTAAAATTTAACCACCACCCCAACTCAATTGCAACTTGGAATGCATATGTCTGTTGTCATGTTCTTTGACGCGTCTTTAGTACTATTCCAGTTACAGCTGGTTATTAAGATTGAGAAAATGCTCTTGAAAAGAATTAACGATTATCAATATGGAAATTATGTCATTGATAATATGTAACATACACTAATCAGAACAAATGTTGATTCAAACAGATAACGATTACAAGTCGACTTATGCCGAAGACGGAATGATATCTGCCCGTCACGTTTTAAAGACAGAATACACTTTTAATTATGAGTTATTTGATGGGCATTTAGAAGAGATGAACTTGAGTCGAATATATTGTGTTTGTCATGTTGATTCTGGCCATGATTTTCTGGTATTGTTGTTTCTGGTGTTTACATTCCGGTGTTGTTGATTCTGGTCTGGACATGTTGGCTTTGGCCTTTACATTCTGGTCTTCTTGTGTCTGGTCTGGACATTCTGGTCTTGATGTTTCTGGTCTGGACATTTTGGTCTTTATGTTTCTGGTCTGGACATTCTGGTCTTGTTGTTTCTGGTTTGGACATTCTGGCCTTGATGTTTCTGGTCTGGACATTCTGGTCGTTGTGTTTCTGGTCTGGTCATTCCGGTCTTGTAGTTTCTGGTCTGGACATTCTGGTCTAGACATTCTGGTCTTGATGTTTCTGGTCTGGACATTCTGGTCTTGATGTTTCTGGTTTGGACATTCTGCTTTTGATGATTCTGGTCTGGACATTCTGGTCTTGATGTTTCTGGTCTGGACATTCTGGTTTTGATGATTCTGGTCTGGACATTCTGGTCTTGATGTTTCTACTCTGGACATTCTGGTCTTGATGTTTCTGGTCTGGACATTCTGGCCTTGCTGTTTCTGGTCTGGACATTCCAGACTTGTTGTTCCTGGTCTGGGCATTCTGATCTTGTTGTTTCTAGTCTGGACACTCTGGTCTTGTTGTTTCTCGTTTGGACATTCTGGTCGTTATGGTTCTGGTCTGGACATTCTGGCCTTGATGTTTCTGGTCTGGACATTCTGGTCTTGTTGTTTCTAGTCTGGACATTCGTGTCTTGTTGTTTCTGGTTTGGACATTCTGGTCTTGATGTTTCTGGTCTGGACATTCTGGTCTGGACATTCTGGTATTGACGTTTCTTGTTTGGACATTCTGGTCTTTTTGTTTCTAGTCTGGACATTCGTGTCTTGTTGTTTCTGGTTTGGACATTCTTGCTTTCATGTTTCTGGTCTGGACATTCTGGTCTTGCTGTTTCTGGTCTGGACATTCGTGTCTTGTTGTTTCTGGTCTGGACATTCTGACCTTGATGTTCCTAGTCTGGACATTCTGGTCTTGTTGTTTCGGGTCTGGACATTCTGGTCGTTATGTTTCTGGTCTGGACATTCTGGTCTTGTTGTTTCTCGTTTGGACATTCTAACCTTGATGTTCCTAGTCTGGACATTCCGGTCTTGTTGTTTCGGGTCTGGACATTCTGGTCGTTATGTTTCTGGTCTGGACATTCTGCTCGTTGTATTTCTGGTCTGACATTTTGTTGTTGTTGTTTAAGGTCTGGGCATCCTGGTCTTGTTGTTTCTGGTCTGGACATTCTGGTCTTGATGTTTCTTGTCTGGACATTCTGGTCTTGTTGATTCTGGTCTGGACATTCTAGTCTTGTTGTTTCTGGTTTGGAAACTCTGGTCTTGTTTCTTGTCTGGACATTCTGGTCTTGTTCTTTCTCATTTGGACATTCTGGTCTTGATGTTTCTGGTCTGGACATTCTGGTCTTGATGTTTCTGGTCTGGACATTCGTGTCTTGTTGTTTCTGGTTTGGACATTCTGGTCTTGATGTTTCTGGTCTGGACATTCTGGTCTGGACATTCTGGTATTGACGTTTCTTGTTTGGACATTCTGGTCTTTTTGTTTCTAGTCTGGACATTCGTGTCTTGTTGTTTCTGGTTTGGACATTCTTGCTTCCACATGTTCTGGTCTCGGGACATTCTGGTCTTGCTGTTTCTGGTCTGGACATTCGTGTCTTGTTGTTTCTGGTCTGGACATTCTGACCCTTGATGTTCCTAGTCTGGACATTCTGGTCTTGTTGTTTCGGGTCTGGACATTCTGGTCGTTATGTTCTGGTCTGGACATTCTGGTCTTGTTGTTCTCGTTTGGGACATTCTAACCCTTGGATGTTCCTAGTCCGGACATTCCGGTCTTGTTGTTTCGGGTCTGGACATTCTGGTCGTTATGTTTCTGGTCGGGACATTTCTGCTCGTTGTATTTCTCTGGTCTTGACATTTTGTTGTTGCTGTTTAAGGTCTGGGCATCCTGGTCTTGTTGTTTCTGGTCTGGACATTCTGGTCTTGATGTTTCTTGTCTGGACATTCTGGTCTTGTTGATTCTGGTCTGGACATTCCTAGTCTTGTTGTTTCTGGCTTGGAAACTCTGGTCTTGTTTCTTGTCTGGACATTCTGGTCTTGTTCTTTCTCATTTGGACATTCTGGTCTTGATGTTTCTGGTCTGGACATTCTGGTCTTGATGTTTCTGGTCTGGACATTCTGGTCTTGATGTTTCTGGTCTGGAACATTCTGGTCTTGATGTTTCTGGTCCGGGACACTCTGGTCTTGTTGTTTCTCGTTTGGACATTCTGGTCGTTATGGTTCTGGTCTGGACATTCTGGCCTTGATGTTTCTGGTCTGGACATTCTGGTCTTGATGCTTCTCGTCTGTACATTCTGGTCTGGACATTCTGGTCTTGTTGTTTCTTGATTGGACATTCTGGTCTTGTTGTTTCTGGTCTGGACATTCTGGTCTTGTTGCTCTCGTTTGGACATTCTAGTCGTTGTGTTTCTGGTCTGGACATTCTAGTCGTAATGTATCTGGTCTGGACATTCTGGTCTTGATGTTTCTGGTCTGGACATTCTGGTCTTGTTCTTTCTCGTTTGGACATTCCTGGTCTGGACATCCTGGTCTTGATGTTTCTGGTCTAGACATTCTGGTCTTGATGTTTCTGGTCTGTACATTCTGGTCTTGTTTTTCTGGATTGGAGATTCTGGTCTTGTTTCTGGCTTTGGCCATTCTGGTCGCTTTATTTCTGGTCTGGACATTCTGGTCGTTATGTTTTCATCTAGACATTCTGGCCCTTGATGTTTCTGCTCTAGATATTCTGTTCTTGTAGTTTTGGTCTTGACATTCTGGTGTTGTTGTTTCTGGTCTAGACATTCTGATCCTTGATGTTTCTGGTCTGCACATTCTGGTTTTTTTTTTCTCTGGTCTGGACATTCTGGTCTCTGTAGCTCTGGCTCTGGATATTCCTGGTCTTGTTGTTTCTGGTCTAGACATTCTGGTTGTTTCTGGTCTGAACATTCTGGTCGTTATGTTTCATCTGGACATTCTGGCCTTGATGTTTCTGCCCAGACATTCTGTTCCTGTAGTTTCTTTGGTCTGGACATTCTGGTGTTGTTGTTTCTCGGGTCTGGACATTCTGGTCTTGTTGTTTCTGGTCTGGACATCCTGGTCTTGTTGTTTCCTGGTCTAGACATTCTGATCTTGATGTTTCTGGTCTGGACATTCTGGTTTTGATGATTCTGGTCTGGACATTCTGGTCTTGATGTTTCTACCTGGACATTCTGGTCTTGATGTTTCTGGTCTGGACATTCTGGCCTTGCTGTTTCTGGTCTGGACATTCCAGACTTGTTGTTCCTGGTCTGGGCATTCTGATCTTGTTGTTTCTAGTCCTGGACACTCTGGTCTCTGTTGTTTCTCGTTTGGGACATTCTGGTCGTTATGGTTCTTGGTCTGGACATTCTGGCCCTGATGTTTCTGGTCTCGGGACATTCTGGTCTTGTTGTTTCTAGTCTGGACATCTCGTGTCTTGTTGTTTCTGGGTTTGGACATTCCTGGTCTTGATGTTTCTGGTCTGGACATTCTGGTCTGGACATTCTGGTATTGACGTTTCTTGTTTGGACACTCTGGTCTTTTGTTTCTAGTCTCGGGACATTTGTGTCTTGTTGTTTCTGGTTTGGACATTCTTGCTTTCATGTTTCTGGTCTGGACATTCTGGTCTTGCTGTTTCTGGTCTGGACATTCGTGTCTTGTTGTTTCTGGTCTGGACATTCTGACCTTGATGTTCCTAGTCTGGACATTCTGGTCTTGTTGTTTCGGGTCTGGACATTCTGGTCGTTATGTTTCTGGTCTGGACATTCTGGTCTTGTTGTTTCTCGTTTGGACATTCTAAACCTTGATGTTCCTAGTCTGGACATTCTGGTCTTGTTGTTTCGGGTCTGGACATTCTGGTCGTTATGTTTCTGGTCTGGACATTCTGGTCTTGTTGTTTCTAGTCCTGGACATTCGTGTCTTGTTGTTTCTGGTTTGGACATTCTGGTCTTGATGTTTCTGGTCTGGACATTCTGGTCTGGACATTCTGGTATTGACGTTTCTTGTTTGGACATTCTGGTCTTTTGTTTCTAGTCTGGACATTCGTGTCTTGTTGTTTCTGGTTTGGACATTCTTGCTTTCATGTTTCTGGTCTGGACATTCTGGTCTTGCTGTTTCTGGTCTGGACATTCGTGTCTTGTTGTTTCTGGTCTGGACATTCTGACCTTGATGTTCCTAGTCTGGACATTCTGGTCTTGTTGTTTCGGGTCTGGACATTCTGGTCGTTATGTTTCTGGTCTGGACATTCTGGTCTTGTTGTTTCTCGTTTGGACATTCTAACCTTGATGTTCCTAGTCTGGACATTCCGGTCTTGTTGTTTCGGGTCTGGACATTCTGGTCGTTATGTTTCTGGTCTGGACATTCTGCTCGTTGTATTTCTGGTCTTGACATTTTGTTGTTGTTGTTTAAGGTCTGGGCATCCTGGTCTTGTTGTTTCTGGTCTGGACATTCTGGTCTTGATGTTTCTTGTCTGGACATTCTGGTCTTGTTGATTCTGGTCTGGACATTCTAGTCTTGTTGTTTCTGGTTTGGAAACTCTGGTCTTGTTTCTTGTCTGGACATTCTGGTCTTGTTCTTTCTCATTTGGACATTCTGGTCTTGATGTTTCTGGTCTGGACATTCTGGTCTTGATGTTTCTGGTCTGGACATTCTGGTCTTGATGTTTCTGGTCTGAACATTCTGGTCTTGATGTTTCTGGTCTGGACACTCTGGTCTTGTTGTTTCTCGTTTGGACATTCTGGTCGTTATGGTTCTGGTCTGGACATTCTGGCCTTGATGTTTCTGGTCTGGACATTCTGGTCTTGATGCTTCTCGTCTGTACATTCTGGTCTGGACATTCTGGTCTTGTTGTTTCTTGATTGGACATTCTGGTCTTGTTGTTTCTGGTCTGGACATTCTGGTCTTGTTGTTTCTCGTTTGGACATTCTAGTCGTTGTGTTTCTGGTCTGGACATTCTAGTCGTAATGTATCTGGTCTGGACATTCTGGTCTTGATGTTTCTGGTCTGGACATTCTGGTCTTGTTCTTTCTCGTTTGGACATTCTGGTCTGGACATCCTGGTCTTGATGTTTCTGGTCTAGACATTCTGGTCTTGATGTTTCTGGTCTGTACATTCTGGTCTTGTTTTTCTGGATTGGGAGATTCTGGTCTTGTTTCTGGTTTGGCCATTCTGGTCGTTTTATTTCTGGTCTGGACATTCTGGTCGTTATGTTTCTCATCTAGACATTCTGGCCTTGATGTTTCTGCTCTAGATATTCTGTTCTTGTAGTTTTTGGTCTTGACATTCTGGTGTTGTTGTTTCTGGTCTAGACATTCTGATCTTGATGTTTCTGGTCTGCACATTCTGGTTTTGTTTTTTTCTGGTCTGGACATTCTGGTCTTGTAGTTTCTGGTTTGGATATTCTGGTCTTGTTGTTTCTGGTCTAGACATTCTGGTTGTTTCTGGTCTGAACATTCTGGTCGTTATGTTTCTCATCTGGACATTCTGGCCTTGATGTTTCTGCTCCAGACATTCTGTTCCTGTAGTTTTTGGTCTGGACATTCTGGTGTTGTTGTTTCGGGTCTGGACATTCTGGTCTTGTTGTTTCTGGTCTGGACATCCTGGTCTTGTTGTTTCCTGGTCTAGACATTCTGATCTTGATGTTTCTGGTCTGGACATTCTGGTTTTGATGATTCTGGTCTGGACATTCTGGTCTTGATGTTTCTACTCTGGACATTCTGGTCTTGATGTTTCTGGTCTGGACATTCTGGCCTTGCTGTTTCTGGTCTGGACATTCCAGACTTGTTGTTCCTGGTCTGGGCATTCTGATCTTGTTGTTTCTAGTCTGGACACTCTGGTCTTGTTGTTTCTCGTTTGGACATTCTGGTCGTTATGGTTCTGGTCTGGACATTCTGGCCTTGATGTTTCTGGTCTGGACATTCTGGTCTTGTTGTTTCTAGTCTGGACATTCGTGTCTTGTTGTTTCTGGTTTGGACATTCTGGTCTTGATGTTTCTGGTCTGGACATTCTGGTCTGGACATTCTGGTATTGACGTTTCTTGTTTGGACACTCTGGTCTTTTTGTTTCTAGTCTGGACATTTGTGTCTTGTTGTTTCTGGTTTGGACATTCTTGCTTTCATGTTTCTGGTCTGGACATTCTGGTCTTGCTGTTTCTGGTCTGGACATTCGTGTCTTGTTGTTTCTGGTCTGGACATTCTGACCTTGATGTTCCTAGTCTGGACATTCTGGTCTTGTTGTTTCGGGTCTGGACATTCTGGTCGTTATGTTTCTGGTCTGGACATTCTGGTCTTGTTGTTTCTCGTTTGGACATTCTAACCTTGATGTTCCTAGTCTGGACATTCTGGTCTTGTTGTTTCGGGTCTGGACATTCTGGTCGTTATGTTTCTGGTCTGGACATTCTGGTCTTGTTGTTTCTAGTCTGGACATTCGTGTCTTGTTGTTTCTGGTTTGGACATTCTGGTCTTGATGTTTCTGGTCTGGACATTCTGGTCTGGACATTCTGGTATTGACGTTTCTTGTTTGGACATTCTGGTCTTTTTGTTTCTAGTCTGGACATTCGTGTCTTGTTGTTTCTGGTTTGGACATTCTTGCTTTCATGTTTCTGGTCTGGACATTCTGGTCTTGCTGTTTCTGGTCTGGACATTCGTGTCTTGTTGTTTCTGGTCTGGACATTCTGACCTTGATGTTCCTAGTCTGGACATTCTGGTCTTGTTGTTTCGGGTCTGGACATTCTGGTCGTTATGTTTCTGGTCTGGACATTCTGGTCTTGTTGTTTCTCGTTTGGACATTCTAACCTTGATGTTCCTAGTCTGGACATTCTGGTCTTGTTGTTTCGGGTCTGGACATTCTGGTCGTTATGTTTCTGGTCTGGACATTCTGCTCGTTGTATTTCTGGTCTTGACATTTTGTTGTTGTTGTTTAAGGTCTGGGCATCCTGGTCTTGTTGTTTCTGGTCTGGACATTCTGGTCTTGATGTTTCTTGTCTGGACATTCTGGTCTTGTTGATTCTGGTCTGGACATTCTAGTCTTGTTGTTTCTGGTTTGGAAACTCTGGTCTTGTTGTTTCTTGTCTGGACATTCTGGTCTTGTTCCTTCTCATTTGGACATTCTGGTCTTGATGTTTCTGGTCTGGACATTCTGGTCTTGATGTTTCTGGTCTGGACATTCTGGTCTTGATGTTTCTGGTCTGAACATTCTGGTCTTGATGTTTCTGGTCTGGACACTCTGGTCTTGTTGTTTCTCGTTTGGACATTCTGGTCGTTATGGTTCTGGTCTGGACATTCTGGCCTTGATGTTTCTGGTCTGGACATTCTGGTCTTGATGCTTCTCGTCTGTACATTCTGGTCTGGACATTCTTGTCTTGTTGTTTCTTGATTGGACATTCTGGTCTTGTTGTTTCTGGTCTGGACATTCTGGTCTTGTTGTTTCTCGTTTGGACATTCTAGTCGTTGTGTTTCTGGTCTGGACATTCTAGTCGTTATGTTTCTGGTCTGGACATTCTGGTCTTGATGTTTCTGGTCTGGACATTCTGGTCTTGTTCTTTCTCGTTTGGACATTCTGGTCTGGACATCCTGGTCTTGATGTTTCTGGTCTAGACATTCTGGTCTTGATGTTTCTGGTCTGTACATTCTGGTCTCGTTTTTTCTGGATTGGAGATTCTGGTCTTGTTTCTGGTTTGGCCATTCTGGTCGTTTTATTTCTGGTCTGGACATTCTGGTCGTTATGTTTCTCATCTAGACATTCTGGCCTTGATGTTTCTGCTCTAGATATTCTGTTCTTGTAGTTTTTGGTCTTGACATTCTGGTGTTGTTGTTTCTGGTCTAGACATTCTGATCTTGATGTTTCTGGTCTGCACATTCTGGTTTTGTTTTTTTCTGGTCTGGACATTCTGGTCTTGTAGTTTCTGGTTTGGATATTCTGGTCTTGTTGTTTCTGGTCTAGACATTCTGGTTGTTTCTGGTCTGAACATTCTGGTCGTTATGTTTCTCATCTGGACATTCTGGCCTTGATGTTTCTGCTCCAGACATTCTGTTCTTGTAGGTTTTGGTCTGGACATTCTGGTGTTGTTGTTTCGGGTCTGGACATTCTGGTTTTGTTGTTTCTGGTCTGGACATCCTGGTCTTGTTGTTTCCTGGTCTAGACATTCTGATCTTGATGTTTCTGGTCTGCACATTCTGGTTTTGGTTTTTTCTGGTCTGGACATTCTGGTCTTGTAGTTTCTGGTTTGGATATTCTGGTCTAGTTGTTTCTGGTCTAGACATTCTGGTTGTTTCTGGTCTGAACATTCTGGTCTTTATGTTTGTGGTCTGGACATTCTGGTCTTGATGTTTCTGGTCTAGACATTCTGATCCTATTGTTTCTTCTCTGGACAAGGACCGCCTCCGTGGTGTAGTGGTTAGAGCGTCCACCCGGAGAGCGGAAGGTCGCGGGTTCGATCCCCGACCGCGTCATACCAAAAGACGTTAAAATATGGTACTTCTTGGTCTCTGCCTGGCGCTCGGCATTAATGGGTACAACAAGGACTGGTCGGCTCGGAGTCAGTATAATGTGTCTGAGTGGGGTATTCATACTTTAACTGCGGCATGGTATCTCAGTGGTCTAGCACTATAAAACCAGCTTAAGTCTAGGCTAGTACAAGCAGCCGCACATACACACGCATGCACGTCGTCATATGAGCGAAATATTCTCAAGCACGACGTAAAAACCCAATTTCACCTCACCTCTTCTCTGGACATTCTGGGGCATTGTGGCCTTGTTGTTTTTGGGCTGAGACATTTCTGTCAGGTTGGGATATTGTATTTGCTGAGATATGACAACGTGAAAAGTTACCATGGATATATATTGACGCCAGGAAACATTATACATACGTGGATGTAGTAAGTCAACCTTCCCTCATACGTCTGGTGGGCTAATGTCCCCGTCGACACTCCAGTGAAGCTGGATGCGAAACCGCTGATGTAGTTAGCTAATCTAAAATAGGCGGGTTAATATCTTGAATGTTTTATCTGTAAAATGACGACATGGTTAATGTAGATGTGTTTTCCTTAACGGTCAAAGCATACCTAATGCCACCACCATGTTCAGTGAGTGAGTGTGGGGGTTGTACGTCCTGTTGAACAATATCCCAGCAAAAATGGGCCTCACACTTTGTAGCCGTTTGGGGAATCAAACCCAGCGACACAAGCACACGCTTTAAGTGATGGACTACTCCGCCGCCTTTTTCGTGGTATAGATGTCAATTTATCCTCTCAGAGAGATGTGATATCGTTATATAACACGAATGTTTTAACGGAACTTATCCTCTCAGAGAGATGTGATATAGTGAATATAACACGGATGTTTTAACGGAACTTATCCTCTCAGAGGGTTGTGATATAGAGAATATAACACGGGTGTTTTAACGGAACTTATCCTCTCAGAGGGTTGTGATATAGTGAATATAACACGGGTGTTTTAACGGAATGTATCCTCTCAGAGGGTTGTGATATAGTGAATATAACACGGGTGTTTTAACGGAACTTATCCTCTCAGAGAGATGTGATATAGTGAATAAAACACGGATGTTTTAACGGAACTTATCCTCTCAGAGAGGTGTGATATAGTGAATATAACACGGGTGTTTTAACGAAATGTATCCTCTCAGAGAGATGTGATATAGTGAATATAACACGGGTGTTTTAACGGAATGTATCCTCTCAGAGGGATGCGATATAGTGAATGTAACACTGATCTTTTAACGGAACTAATCCTCTCAGAGAGATGTGATATAGTAAATATAACACGGTTTTTTTAACGGAACTTATCCTCTCAGAGAGATGTGATATAGTGAATATAACACGGGTGTTTTAACGGAACTTATCCTCTCAGAGAGATGTGATATCGTGAATATAACACGATGTTTTAACGGAACTTATCATCTCAGAGGGTTGTGATATAGTGAATGTAACACTGATGTTTTAACGGAACTTATCCTCTCAGAGAGATGTGATATAGTGAATATAACACGATGTTTTAACGGAACTTATCCTCTCAGAGAGATGTGATATAGTGAATATAACACGGGTGATTTAACGGAACTTATCCTCTCAGAGAGTTGTGATATAGTGAATATAACACGGGTGTTTTAACGGAACTTATCCTCCCAGAGAGATGTGATATAGTGAATATAACACGGGTGTTTTAACGGAACTTATCCTCTCAGAGAGATGTGACATAGTGAATATAACACGGGTGTTTTAACGGAACTTATCCTCTCAGAGAGATGTGATATAGTGAATATAACACGATGTTTTAACGGAACTTATCCTCCCAGAGAGATGTGATATAGTGAATATAACACGGGTGTTTTAACGGAACTTATCCTCTCAGAGAGTTGTGATATAGTGAATATAACACTGATGTTTTAACGGAACTTATCCTCTCAGAGAGATGTGATATAGTGAATATAACACGGGTGTTTTAACGGAACTTATCCTCCCAGAGAGATGTGATATAGTGAAAATAACACGGGTGTTTTAACGGAACTTATTCTCTCAGAGAGATGTGATATAGTGAATATAACACGATGTTTTAACGGAACTTACCCTCTCAGAGAGATGTGATATAGTGAATATAAAACGATGTTTTAACGGAACTTATCATCTCAGAGGGTTGTGATATAGTGAATGTAACACTGATGTTTTAACGGAACTTATCCTCTCAGAGAGATGTGATATAGTGAATATAACACGGGTGTTTTAACGGAACTTATCCTCTCAGAGAGATGTGATATAGTGAATATAACACGAGTGTTTTAACGGAACTTATCCTCTCAGAGGGTTGTGATATAGTTTATATAACACGGGTGTTTTAACGGAACTTATCCTCTCAGATAGATGCGATATAGTGAAAATAACACGGGTGTTTTTAACGGAACTTATCCTCTCAGAGAGAGGTGATATAATGAATATAACACGGATGTTTTAACGGAACTTATCCTCTCAGAGAGGTGTGATATAGTGAATATAACACGGGTGTTTTAACGGAACTTATCCTCCCAGAGAGATGTGATATAGTGAATATAACACGGGTGTTTTAACGGAACTTATCCTCTCAGAGAGTTGTGACATAGTGAATATAACACTGATGTTTTAACGGAACTTATCCTCTCAGAGAGATGTGATATAGTGAATATAACACGATGTTTTAACGGAACTTATCCTCCCAGAGAGATGTGATATAGTGAATATAACACGGGTGTTTTAACGGAACTTATCCTCTCAGAGAGTTGTGACATAGTGAATATAACACTGATGTTTTAACGGAACTTATCCTCTCAGAGAGATGTGATATAGTGAATATAACACGGGTGTTTTAACGCAACTTATCCTCCCAGAGAGATGTGATATAGTGAATATAACACGGGTGTTTTAACGGAACTTATCCTCTCAGAGGCTTGTGACATAGTTGCTTCAACTCACCGCTGTGAGGTCGTTGTATTTTGAGTGGTCGACTATGCCATTGAAGTAGTGTTGGACTCCTCTTGCGGAACTCACTTGTGGGGGGTTGTCCAGTAGACTGTTGATATGATATATTTAAATAGGAGGTTAGCAAATTAACCTTGAGCTTCAGAATACATCTTGTTCTTGACTCATATGCTTAAGAGTAAAAGATAAATGAATGCAATCAAAATGATTAAGAATATTTGTTAAAGGCACTATATCACACCACACTTCTCTAAAAATAAATAATGCATTTCTCTCAATAATACTAACTATCAGCCCTAAGGGAAGCTACCATATAATTTATTTAAAAAAAATTAATACGTATTAAGATTACAATATAAAATTAAAAAGTGCGAATGAATAAATGCAATGTTGCATTAAATCGACTCATCATTTCAAGCGAAACCCATATAGTTATGTCCCTTTGAGCGCTCGAATATCCTACGCACAACTTGTGATTAAAACCAGTCCGACAAAAACGCGTGTGACAGTATTCGATGTATGGAGCAATTGTTTACATTTGGTATATGTCAAGAGTTCTCTGTTTGGAAGCTGTTCGCCTTATGAGTGCATATGCCCCAATATATATATACACACACACACACATCTATATCTAATGCACAATCAGTTACTGCATATCTTCATCGACCATCAATGAATACATTATTTATGACTTCCTCAACAAACGTTCGCGATAAACTGAATCCTGTAAGACTTCACAAACCAATTATAAGTATTCCTGCATCAATATTTGATGAGCTGGCTCTTGTGTAAATTGCAAACAAACGCTCCTGTGTGTACAATGTGGAAACGATACATCTTAATCAAATATTAATGTATCTATGACTACAAAGATCATCACTATACGAATCCTTTGTATCTTCCCGAGTGAACAGTAAACTGATTATTGTAAGTAAGTGAGTATGGTTTTACGCCGCCATCAGCACTATTCAAGTCCCATCACGGCAGGGTACATCAGAAATAGGCTCCAAACGTTGTACCCAAGTGGGGAATGAAACACGGGTCTTCGACAAACCATTAGGCAACTCACTCTAACCACTAGGCAGCAGGCTCTAACCACCAGGCAGCAGGCTCTAACATTTAGGCAACTCGCTCTAACCCCTATGCAGCAGGCTCAAACCACTAGGCAACCCACTCTAACCACTAGGCGACCCGCTCTGACAACTAGGCAACCCGCTCTGACAACTAGGCAACCCACTCTGACCACTAGGCAACCCGCTCTGGCTACTAGGCACCACGCTGTAACCGCTAGGCACCACGCTCTAACCACTAGGCAACCGGCTCTGACAACTAGGCACCACGCTCTTACCACTAGACAACCGGCTCTGACAACTAGGCAACCCACTCTAACCACTAGGCAACCGGCTCTGACAACTAGGCAACCCACTCTAACAACTAGGCAACCCACTCTGGCCACTAGGCAACCCACTCTGGCCACTAGGCAACCAACTCTAACAACTAGGCAACCCACTCTGACAACTAGGCAACCCACTCTAACCACTAGGCAACCGGCTCTGACAACTAGGCAACCCACTCTAACAACTAGGCAACCCACTCTGACAACTAGGCAACCCACTCGAACAACTGACAACTAGGCAACCCACTCTAACCACCTAGGCAACCCACTCTGACAACTAGGCAACCCACTCTAACAACTAGGGCAACCCCACTAGGGCAACCAACTCTAACAACTAGGCAACCCGCTCTGACAACTAGGCAACCCACTCTAACCACTAGGCAACCCACTCTAACAACTAGGCAACCCACTCTGACAACTAGGCAACCCACTCTAACCACTAGGCAACCCACTCTAACAACTAGGGAACCCACTCTGACAACTAGGCAACCCACTCTAACCACTAGGCAACCCACTCTAACCACTAGGCAACCCACTCTAACAACTAGGCACCCCCTCCGACAACTAGGCAACCAGCTCTGGCCACAAGGCAACCCACTCTAACAACTAGGCAACCCACTCTGGCCACTAGGCAACCAACTCTAACAACTAGGCAACCCACTCTGACAACTAGGCAGCCAGCTCTGGCCACTAGGCAACCCACTCTAACAACTAGGTCACCCACTCTAACCACTAGGCAACCAACTCTGACAACTAGGCAACCCGCTCTGGCCACTAGGCAACCCACTCTAACAACTAGGCAACCCACTCTGACAACTAGGCAACCCGCTTTGGCCACTAGGCAGCAGGCTCTGACCACTAGGCACCGCCCTCTAACCACTAGGCAACCCGCTCTCACCACTAGGCAACCCGCTCTAACCCCTAGGCAGCAGGCTCTGACCACTAGGCAACCCGCTCTCACCACAAGGCGACCCGCTCTGAGCACTAGGCACCATGCTCTAACCACTAGGCAGCAGGCTCTGACCACTAGGCAACCCGCTCTCACCACTAGGCACCGCGCTCTGACCACTAGGCAACCCGCTCTGACCACTAGGCACCATGCTCTAACCATGAGGCAACCCACTCTGACCACCAGGCACCTCGATCAAACCACAAGGCAACAGGCTCTAAACCACTAGGCCACTAGGCAAGCCGCTCTGACCACAAGGCAAGCAGGTCTGACAACTAGGCCCCTCGCTCTCATCACTAGGCAACCTGCTCTGACCACTAGGCACCGCGCTCTAACCACTAGGCCACTAGGCAATACCCACTCTAACCACTATGCAACTCGCTCTAAGCACTACACAACCCGCTCTAACTACAAGCCCACTCGCTCTAACGATAACGGTACTCACTCTAACCACTAGGCAACACGCTCTAACAACTAGGCAGTCCACACTATCAACACTGTGCATCCCGCTCTAATCCCTAGGCCACTCGCTCTAACCACTAGGCAAGTAGGTCTAACCACTAAGAACCTCACTCTAACCACTGGGCAAGTTGCTCTAACCACTAAGAACCTCATTCTAACCACTGGGCAAGTTGCTCTAACCTCTAAGAACCTCACTCTAACCACTGGGCAAGTTGCTCTAACCTCTAAGAACCTCACTCTAACAACTGGGCAAGTAGCTCTAACCACTAAGAACCTCACTCTAACCACTGGGCAAGCGGCTCTAAGCACTAGGCCACTAGGCAATACCCACTCTAACCACTATGCAACTCGCTCTAAGCACTACGCAACCCGCTCTAACCACTAGGCCACACGTTCTATTCCCCTAGGCAACCCGCCCTAACCACTGAGCAACCCGCTCTAAGCACTAGGCAAGTCGCTCTAACCCCGAGGCAACCTGCTCTAACCACTAGGCCGCTCCTTCTAACCGCTAGGCCACTCCCTCTAACCACTAGGCCACTCCTTCTAACCACTATGTAAATCGCTCTAACCACTAGGCCTCTCCCTCTAACCACTAGGTCACTCCCTCTAACCACTAGGCCGCTCCCTCTTACCACTAGGCCTCTCCCTCTACCCACTAGGTCACTCCCTCTAACCACTAGGCCGCTCCCTCTAACCACTAGGCCACTCCCTCTAACCACTAGGCCTCTCCATCTAACCACTAGGGCACTCCCTCTAACCACTAGGTCACTCCCTCTAATCACTAGGACGCTCCCTCTAACCACTGGGCCTCTCCCTCTAACCACTAGGTCACTCCCTCTAACCACTATGTAAATCGCTCTAACCACTAGGCCGCTCCCTCTTAGCACTATGTAAATCGCTCTAACCACTAGGCCACTCCCTCTAACCGCTAGGCCTCTCCCTCTTACCACTATGCAAATCGCTCTGTCCACTAGGCAACCTGCTCAAACCACTAAGCCGCTCCCTCTAACCACTAGGCCGCTCCCTCTAACCACTAGGACTCTCCCTGTAACCACTAGGCCGCTCCCTCTAACCACTAGGCCACTCCATCTAACCACTAGGCCGCTCCCTCTAACCACTATGAAAATCGCTCTAACCACTAGGCAACCTGCTCAAACCACTAGGCCACTCGCTCTAACCACTACGCCACTCCCTCTAACCACTAGGCCGCTCCCTCTAACCACTATGTAAATCGCTCTAACCACTACGCCACTCCCTCTAACCACTAGGCCTCTCCCTCTAACCACCATGTAAATCGCTCTAACCACTAGGCCTCTCCCTGTAACCACTAGGTCACTCCCTCTAACCACTAGGCCGCTCCCTCTAACCACTAGGCCGCTCCATCTAACCACTAGGGCACTCCCTCTAACCACTAGGCCTCTCCCTCTAACCACTAGGCCACTCCCTCTAACCACTAGCCGCTCCATCTAACCACTAGGCCACTCCCTCTAACCACTATGCAATTGCTCTAACCACTAGGCAACCTGCTCAAACTATTAGGCCACAAGGCAATACATGCAATTCATGCGTCACGATTTTAATGCGAGTGCGAGGGTCTAGTCTAGTACCCACTCTAACCACAACGCAACCCACACTACACCCACTGCATGCATCATTGAAGTATCAATGAACTGCATGTATCACTGAGCTGTCAATAAAGTGAATGCATCATTGAACTATCAAGAAACTGCATGTATCATTGAACTATCATGAAACTGCATGTATCATTGAAGTATCAATAAACTACATGTATCATTGAAGTATGAATGAAATGCATGTGTTATTGAACTATCAATAAACTGCATGTATCATTGAAGTATCAGTTAACTGCACGTATCATGGAAGTATCAGTTAACTGCATGTATCATTGAGGTATCAATAAACTGCATGTATCATTGAAGTATGAAAAGAACTGTATGTATTATTGAAGAATCAGTTAACAGAAAGTATCATTGAAGTATCAATAAACTGCATGCATCATTGAAGCATGAATGAAATGCATGTGTTATTGAACTATCAATAAACTGCATGAATCATTGAAGTATCAGTTAACTGCATGTATCATTGAACTATGCAAAAACTGTATGTATCATTGAAGTATCAGCTTACTGCAAGTATCGCTGAAGTATCAATAAACTGCATGTATCATTGAAGTATCAATAAACTGCAAGTATCATTGAAGTATCAACAAACTGCAAGTATCATTGAAGTATCAATAAACTGCATGTATCATTGAAGTATCAATAAACTGCAAGTATCATTAAAGTATCAATAAACTGCATATATCATTGTGGTATCAAGACACTGCATGTATCATTTAACTATCTATGAAATGCATGTGTTATTGAACTGTCAATAAACTGCATGTATCATTGAAGTATCAATAAACTGCAAGTATCATTGAACTCTCAACAAACTGCATTAATCACTGAAGCATCAATGTACGTGCATGTATCATTGGACTATCAATAAGCTCAACGTATCATTGAACTATCAATGAACTACATGTATCATTGATCTGTCAATAACTGAGTATCAACGAACTATTACTGAATCAGTGTGGATCAATAAACCGCATGTATCAACGAACTATTAATAAATAAGTTTCAACGAACTATTAATAAACTCACTCCTGAATGTTATCATGTTTCAGCTCATGCGGAATGCCCGCTGCGTTGATGAGATCGAGGAACCTCTGGTAGGTCTCGGGAGGAACCCTGACTTTCCCTGGTTGGTTGACCCGGGGCATGATCCAGACGTCCAGCTGGCAACACAGAAATTACACGTTGTTTTCTCGCGCTGTTCTGTTGATACGTGTGTATCAGTATACATTTCATAATAGTGAGTGAGTGAGTTAACATTTTACATCGCATCGGCAATATTACAGCAACATAGCGCTGAAAACAAGGTAATCATTTTAAAATATCTGTCGACGAAGGACAGTAAAACCAAATAGACTATCACAGATAGTTATATTTATAACTAGTAATTAAATCTAAAATACTTACACTATATATGACGATACAATATAAAACAGGTTATAGATCGCCAACAATTGAAGGTACATTCCATAATAGGGACGGTGGGGTAGCCAAGTGGTTAAAGCGTTCGCGCGTCCCGTCAAATTCCCAGATTCGATTCTCCACATGAGTGAGTGAGTCAGTGAGTGAGTTATTATTTAACTCACATTGGCAATATTTCAGCCATATCGTGACGAGAACATTTGACATTGAAATAGAACCACATGAGTACAATGTGTGAATCCCATTTCTGGTGTCCTCGACGTGATATTCCTGGATTATTAAAGCGGCAAGGTGTCTGGCCGTCTATGGAGCTGCAATTCGCTGTTCAGAACCATTAGACATGGTAACGCTTGCATGTACGCAAATAAACGCACCATTCACGTGCTCTCCCATTTATACGAAACTCGTGACCTTCTTATGGTTTCTGACCTCGCTTTCGCTAGGTAATATACCATAGGAAGGACATTCGTTTCGTATAATTCGTATGTAATGAGACCTAGTGTAGTATTCCCTATATACGTTCGTGCTCAGAGAATACCTCCGGACGAACATGCCACACGGGTACGTCAATCGTTACAAATACGCTCATTATCGTGACTTTGACCTACCCCGAGGTGCCCGCTATCTTCAAGATCGGCCAGAAACTCGACCTGCTCCTTGTTTTGAGGGGTTACTGCAAGCAGGCGGTGACTGAAAGTATAGGAACATCGTCACAATTTTAGCAATTAAATCTCCACGTAGCATCACAAAAAGGTATTGCAACGCAAATATGACCGCGTACCAGTTCGGATAATGCAGCGCGGGTCCAACTCAGTGGGTACAGCGCTTGCTTCCATGTTAAACAGACTGATAGACTTGTAATAGATATGTTATTGCAGAATGTGAGCTAAACTCTCACATCACCCTGGTAGTATTCTTACCATATGGGAACCACAACGAAATGAATACATTTCAATCTTGTATTAAAGCTATATGCAAAAACCAAAAACTAGCAACACTTATCGCGGAATTTATATATAAAATTATTAGGCCACGTAAACGATCATGTGTTTATTGAATGTAGGTGATTTCATGTCCTTTTTGCAATATAAAACACCCTTGTAACCTTGACTTGGAACTGTAATACTTGCAACAGGCATTTTTTTCTATTTCAGCTACCTGAGGCGTTATTTTCATGAATTTTCAAGGAAACGGGGGCGGTGGGGTAGCCTTGTGGTTAAAACGTTGGCTCGTCACGCCGAAGACCCGGGTTCGATTCCCCACATGGGCACAATGTGTTAAGCCCATTTCTGGTGTCCCCCGCCGTGATATTGCTGGAATATTGCTAAAAGCGGCGTAAAACTAAAACTCACTCACTCAAGGAAACGGTTTTTAAGTTCTTAGATTACAACCATGTTCAGCCTTTCTTAACATCGTAAAACACATAATCGTAATATCTACAACACGAAACGTTAAAACATTTAACAGGAACTGCCAAAATATTTAGATAATATCCCGTTATGGAACTCACTACCTAGTGTGTGAGTAAAGGGGTGGCGGGGGGAAGGGATTTGAGTGTATGGAATGTTGGTCTGGATATGTTACAAGTACCAGATATCTATACCATTATACATACCACCTTATCTAAAAGGACAATACACGTTCCAACTATTCAATTCAATTTCGTCTGTCTTCATCAGTCAGAAGAGCGCCTCTTTCCAGGTATATATTGAACAAGTTGCGTAATATCGAACAGTCGATCACCTGTGAAGATCCGGGTTAGAATTCATCTTCAGTAACCCGGCGACTAACGCGATCGGGTGGTCAGACTCGCTGCATTGGTTGACACATTTGCGGAGATCGATGTACATGCTGTTCATCACTGGATTGTCTGGTCCAGACTCGATTATTTACAGACCGCCGCAATACTGCTCATTGCTGAGAGCGGCGCAAGACTAAACCCATTCACTCAAACAGTCGATTCCTATTTTACATGTGTAATTACAACCACGATTAACATCACAAACCACATGGTTGTAATATCGCACAGCGCGAAATATTTACACAAGGCACTGAAACAAAATCTTTAAACATAACCACACACTCACTTGACGTAGGTCACCTTCTGAGGAAGTGCCTCCTCCTTGGCTAGCGTTGCCCCTAAGGTCAAGACAAGACACCCAGCGAGCATCAACACCTTCATCATCATCAGCGACTACGCAGACTACAGGATGGGGTGCCACACCTTCCCCTTTTTATAAACCTTCCTTCGGGGCAGTAAACGTGTCATGTTGGATTACGAGTCTGAAGTAGTTCCATTAATTGTTTTACTACCATTATGACCAGGTCATCTGTTTACTTCGTTTGAGGTGACAGGATCCAGGTCATTTTGGACTGTTTCGCCATGTTATTCACAATCCTGACCTAAAGGCGAGGTGCATTGTGTTTTTTTCGCCGCGTTCAAGTTCCCGAAGAAGTCACGCTGGTCGTGAGATGCGTGGTGCTCTGGTCAGCTGATGTATTTTTTGCTTGTGTAGTCCACATTCGTAGATTACCACTCAGATACGTATACATTAAGCGAATTTAGACCAGTCCTTGTTTAACACATTAATGCTGAGTAATCAATTTTCGTCCATTGATCAAACCTACGGCCAATATGCTAACGCTGTAACGTCAGGAGTGAGTGGGTGAAATAAAATTCCTTGTCACCTCGGCAATATTTCAGCCATATCGTGCCTATTTCAGCCATATCGTGTCTGAACTAAGGCAGACATTGACAATAAATAAAGTTACATAAAATTCTGTCAACTATGGGAAGTGGTTGAACTAGAATATCACAGAAATGGAATTTGAAAGTATGTAATTCTAAACGTTACATTTCTGTGCACAACAATACAATACACAAACGGTCTAGAAGATTCTCTCTCTGTACAGTTTCAGAGAAGTCCTAGGTTAGAGTGAGTGAGTAAGTTAAAAGTTTACGTGAAGTCGGTAATATTTCAGCCATATCGACAACAAGGTCATATAGTACGAATAAATATATTTATGCTTTTACAATTCTGCCATCGAAGGAGAGTAGAACAGCCTGATTATCACAGATTAAAAGGAAAACTAGTTTGAGATAATTTTGAAACGCAATATAAAATCGTGCTATAGATCGCTAGCAACGAACGCCAGGCCACCATGCTGGGGACGTGGGGACTTACAATACTTCTGCTTGGAATAACTATCTTTGAAAGCATGTTCTTAAAGTGCCCCTGGGTCAGAATTTGGACAGGAAACCATCCTCTACCGGGATCGGTTGGTCAGGTAGATGACAATGTCAATACACTTTATCGTCTCTATAGATCGATGATCTGGACGTGAATCACTGGATTATCCGGTTTCGATAACTTACAAGCTTCCGTCATAGAGCTGGAATACAATGCCGCCTGTATCGTGAAACAACAAACGTAGTAAAAGGCTCTCCAAAGGTGCTGTGACGTGAGTGAGTGAGTTAAAATATAACGTCACACCGGCAATATTTCAGCCATATAGTGACGAGAACAAAGGTAGTATATATGATAAATATTTGTTACGAAGGACAGTAAAACTTCAGCAACGTATCACAGAATGCAAGTCTAAAAACTAATCATTTTCAATTCTATAAATGCAACTCGATATGACATATATTAACATTAAAACGAGTGAGTGAGTGAGTGAGTGTTTATTTTACCCCTCTTTTGGCAATATTCCTGCAATACACCAGACACAACCCGTGAAGATCCGGGTTAGAATTGATCTTCAGTAACCCATGCTTGTATCCCAATTACGCAGATTGATGCACATGCTGTTGATCACTGGATTGTCTGATCCAGACTTGATCACTTACAGATCGCCGCCATATAGCTTCCAAATTGCCGAGACAAGCGTTAAAGAACAAACTAACAATATGTTAGTCTCCTTCATCATAACAGACGTCCCCGTTTCGGGACATAAACGACCCCGACCCCGACGTCCTTATAACGCAAAGGTCAAACTAGAGTTGAATTCAGTTATCATTATTTACACGCCAACCACCTGTACTGAAAGCATGAAGGGTTATTAACCAATAAAAGTGCCAGTGAAGAGTACGTATTATCTCAGTCAGTCTCTACCCATTCCAAAAATACGTTTTCTGACACTCCCCTGCTTCTTCTGATCACTGGTTTATAGGTCAACAGCTCTGGTGGGCTAATGGCCAAACAGTATGAGCTCGTATCTTAGGACCACTGAATCCCAATTCCAAATAAAACAGAGATTTACAGAAAACAGACACTCACGAAACCTGACCTTAATCCTCAACTATGTGCACTGGTCCTTTTTGTTTGTTGTTTTACGCCGCACTCAGGATTATTCCAACTACATGGCGGCTGTCTGTAATTAATCGAGTCTGGACCACATATTCAGTGACCAACAGCATGAGCATCGATCTACGCAATTGGGAACCGATGGTATGCGTCAACCAAGTCAGCGAGCCTGACCACCCGATCCCGTTAGTCGCCTCTTACGACAAGCATGGGTTGCTGAAGATCAATATTCTAACCCGGACCTTCACGGGTAGTGATCATTAAAGAAACTTGTAAAGTATTGCGCTGATAACTGAATAAACTATTACAGACAGTCACAGAGAAATGAAAAAGAGCATAGAGTGGAGGACGGAAATCTCTCTGCCAGGGAGGAGCAACTCTGTCATCTTTTCTTCCCTAACAGTGAGTGAGTGAGTGAGTTTAAGTTTACGCCGCACTCAGCAATATTCCAGCTATATGGCGGTGGTCTGTAAATAATCGAATCTGGACCAGACAATCCAGTGATCAACAGCATGAGCATCGATATGCGCAACTGGGAACCGATGACACGTGTCAACCAAGTAAGCGAGCCTGACCACCCGATCCTGTTAGTCGCCTCTTACGACAAGCATGGGTTGTTGAAGATCAATATTCTAACCCGGACCTTCACGAGTGAGTGAGTGAGTGAGTGAGTTAAAGTCAATAGTCACAGCGGCACTATTGCAGCCATATCGTGACTTGAAATCGTTATAAATTCAGGACAACTACACAAACTTTAAAAACCCGTCGACGGACAATAAAACCTAATAGTATATCACAGTAACAAGAATAAAAGTAGCATTATCGTACTAATGTGTAATTATAAAGGTTTTAACATATTAACTATAATTATTAACTATATAAACTCGTCAAAATAAAAAGAAACGCACAGGCATAAAATAAGTAAATGTATTAAATGAACATGTACATAGATGAAGGAAATTCGACACAAGGATGAACATATATATCGTTGTCATTGTCAGCATTTATTCAGTTCAGTAACTGCACATGTGTGGACACAAGGGGGCGTTCAGGTCAGTGCCTGGTGACTCCACCCCTTGCAGCCGTCACTGCTCGACACTGACTTGGAAGGGATTGTACAATTAGTCAGATTTTTGCTGGATAAATTCTTCGCCATTCCTCCTTCAACGCGGTGACAAGTCCTGCAGGTGTCTGAGGACGGTGTCGACGTTTACGGACGTGCTCGTCCATAGATGCTCGGTCAGGTTCAGATCAGGCGATTTGAATGGCCAGGGAAAGACATTTACGTTTGCATTGGCGATGTAGACACCTGTTACACGAGCTGTGTTGGGCATCGAGCGTTGTCGTGTTGACACAGCTCCCTCTGACGGTTAAAAAGTTGGAGAAGGTGAGGTCGCAGGATTTGGTTGAAGTAGCCATTCGCACAATTGGAGGGTTGTAGCCAAAAGGGCCGAAGGACAAAAGGGCCGAAAAATAACAAATTAATAAATTACATAGTAAAATAGTGTAAATAGTGTTTAGTTTGTTGTTGTTGTTATTGGATGTTAATGGAATTTAAATATGAGACACTAATGCTTTCATTGTGTAGTGTCTTGACTCACAGTGTCATGACTAATCCGTATCGGATGCATGTTTTTGTTGTTGTTGTAAGTTTTCAATCCAAAGAGGGACAGCTCAGCCCAACCGCGCTTCTGACAATGTGTCTAGAGTGTATGCCCAAGTGTGTTTGAATGAACTTGTGTGAATTATGAACGAATGAACAGTGTGTAAATTATGAACTTGTGTACGTTATGAACGAATAAACTAGTGTAAATTACCATTATATTATTTTTGTGAATTATGTGAACATGTGTATGGCCATTACATGAAAACTTGGCTACATGCTTGGCTATTACCATGCCATTACTATTTTCTTAATGTTATGATGATATTATGTTTCAATGCTATATGTGTCAATAAATAATGTATGACCTTTCTAAACTTTTTTTTCTGTTCGGCCCATATGACAAGGAATAAGGCCCTTTTGACTTTTTGTCACGGCCCATTAGACTTTCACCTTGGCCCTTTTGACTTTTTCCTTCGGCCCTTTTGACTTGGCACTTCTCGGCCCTTTTGTCCTTCGGCCCATTTGACTAGTTCCCCAATTGGACACGTCGTTGTCGGTGTAGTTGTGTCAAGACAGGTTCACCTTTTGGTCGATAATCTCGAATTCCTACTTCTCTCGGACGATATCTGATGGTTTGGCCGAAAATTCTTCGAAGACCAGGCACCTGTCCTGTTGCTGTATCAAATCTTTGACGTAGGTGAAACACCTGGATGACGCAGTACTGAGCAGGAGTGGTCACTCTTGGTCTTCTACTTCTCGGGCGATCTTTGGTCGAATTGAAGCGGCTATATCGATGGCATAGTCGAGATATGGTGCTGTGGTGGACGGTGAAGTTTCTTGCAAAAGCATACGGAGCATCCCTGCTCCCAAATGTCAGTGGCGATATTTCCATAAGTAGCATTCAATCTTGGCATTTTCAGTTTCAGTTACTGGACACTGCCGGAAACAAGGTTAGTTTCAGCGACTGGAAACTGCCGGAAACCAACAAAGTTAGTTTCCAGAGTGAGTGAGTGAGTTAAGATTTAAAGTCACATCGGCAATATTTCAGCCATATCGTGACTAAAGCAAGTTATAAATCTATCAACAATTTAAGTGAAATGATAAAATTCTGCCGACGAAGGACAGTAAAATAACTAGATTATCACAGATATACATGTAAAACTAGTAATTGAATCTAAAACATTTTAACTAGAGGGGACAACACAGTATAAAAATGGGCTATAGATCGCTAACAACTGAAGTTAGATCACCATACTAGAGACCATGGGG